CTGATCTTTTCCTTTTGCCTTTCCTTTTCCCCTCTATCTTTCCCTTTTGCCTTTTCCTTTCCTTCCCCCCTATCTTTTCCTTTTGCCTTTCCTTTTTCCCCTACCTTTTCCTTTTGCCTTTTCCTTTCCTTTTCCTCCCCCATCTTTCCTTTTCCCTTTTCCTTTCCTTTTCCCCCCCTACCTTTTCCTTTTGGCTTTTCCTTTCCTTTCCTTTCCTGAGCCTAATACCTGTATCAGTCTGTAGCTGGAGGAGTTGCATGTGTTCCTGCAGGCTGAGGGACAGCAAACTGCAAGAACCTTGTTTAAAAACAAGCCCCAAAGGCTAGAAGAATCTGACTGACTCCTTTGTGCTGTCTGGAATCAGGGGCTGACATGTCTTTCCCTGTGTCGTGTCGCAGATACTGTGTACCCTGGCACTCCAGGCACCGAGGTGTGTTTTGCTAGGCAGCACAACACTTCAGACAATAACAACCAGTGTTTCCTTGGCACCAATGGCAATGCTCTGCTGCAGCTTAACCCTCAGAAACCAGGAGCTATCGATAACCAGCCCCTGGTGACACAGGAGCCAGTGAAGGTAAATGCATCTGAGGCATGTCAATACAGCAAAAAGAGCTTTTAGCTTACTGTAGCCACAGCTTTGATGTGTTGGTTTCCAGCTGGTGGCTTAATTCTAAATCACTTCTGTCACAGAACAAAATTTGGGTTTCTTGCTCTTATTTTAAGAGGAAAAAAATGTGTTTTGCTTCTGTTGTGTTCTGTGAGGAAAGAAACATTCAAAATGTTATCATGCAAAACTTAGCAATGGGAAAGGTATTTATGAAAACACGGTTTTCAGCATTGGGTGTAAAATATTTTCGATGTAAAAATGAGTTACTGCTGTTGCATAACAAGAGAAAATAGGTAACTAAATAGTAAAACTGACAGTTGCTGCAGTATCCATGCAACTGAAATGAGGAACAGACCAGCACCACCAGTGATGGGCAGAGATTGGATTCTCCACCCTAAGTTGTCAGAGTAGGTGACACAAGAAACACATTATGAGTTTGATACTGAACAAGCTTTTAGAGAAATACTAAATAGTGAGATAATTCCATTTAAATACCAATTTCAGTGTGAAAATCAGTTGTTAATTGCTACTTAGAAGTTTTTTTAATAATTAAAGAGTGTTCTGTGTCCACGAACTAAAATCTCTGTGGCTGTAGACTATTTTTGCCACTTGAGATGTGACAAACCCTCTTTGTTTCAAGGCTGCATCACTGACAATGGAGGGAGGAAGGTTAAAGAGATCTCCACAGCTGGTTGAAGGAAAGGACTATGTCATGGTACCAGAACCAGTTTGGAGAGCACTTTACCACTGGTATGGAGCAAACCTGTCCCTGCCCAGGCCGGTAAGTTGTGCTTATAGACATCATTTCCTTGCTGAGAAAGTAGAAACTACCTCATTTATCCAAGCTAACACTAGTGGCACAGGGTAATCTGGTATGGCCAACTCCCATGGATGGTCTAAACGGAGAGTGTTGAAGAGCAAACTGGGATAAAGCAGCCTCCAAACTGGCCATGGTTAGAAGGCTGTGTCTGTTGAGCAGGAGGTTTGCAGCACAATCCCCAGGAGATGCTGCAGCAGGGCAAGTGCTGCTCAGCTGCTCGTGATGGCTAAAGCAGACAGAAGTAAACTTGAGATCAGTTTAAAACACTTGACATGCCAACACTCATCTTTAAAGCTGAGCTAAATTTTCAGCTGGTCTGCAGAACCTGTGAAATTCCAACTGGGACACCTGCAGCTTTGACAACCTGTTTCTCCTCTCTCCCAATTTCATGCTGTGGGGAGAAAGTAACATTTGCTCCCTCAGATTCGATGTCTTAGAAACACAATGCACTAAACGTGGTGAAGAGCTAAAAAGCAGATGGCAACAGGTGACCCCGGTGAAAAAAAGAAGCAAAGATTATTCCTTGTCAGAATGGCTGCTCAGAGACACCTCAGAGGTGCAGCTGCAGGAGTCTGTTCACTTAGAAACCTTGGAAACTCTTCCTTCAGTTCCTGTGGAGTATATTTATTCCATACACTGGAAAATACATGCAGTCTATGTATATATGTATGACTATACATATGCATTCCATATCCATATAGGGGTTGGTTAATTCTGAGTCAGTCTCTTGCAGCATCTACACTTGCAAAGAAGGCTGTGAGGGGATTTTTGTCATGGTAGCAACAGAGATGAGGTGGTTGGTGCCACAAACCTTCAGTGTCACAGATGGGAGAGAATTAGCTGTCTGATTTTTGACAATTTGGTCTGTTGGCTCTAGCACTGACAATTATTTTACAGAGAAAAATCCCTGACTTGTGTTACCTCCTCCCACACGTTCTCCATGGAAACAAACACCTTTCATGATCCAGAAAAGGCCACAGCACTTTGCACACAAACTAATGTGCTTTCTGCTCAGAAAATGTCATCACTAGTGTTTTTGTTGTTATTGAAGTTTTATGCTGTGACACTTCAGTGTGTTGTGTTGCTTCTCACAGCTGAGTGTTTTCTTCTGCTTCACACGGGCACAAAAATAGGGAACATCCATTTATGTATGTCTGTGTTTGGGTGGATCTAGGGAGCAAAATCTTTGTAGAAATGGTGATTGAAAAGCTGCAAAATTTGTTTTGGGGTGATTTCAGCTTTTTCTGGCAGCATATCAAAACATAACAAAAGTAAGTTTCAATCTGTTCATGCAACGTGAAGGGTTTCAATTCAACCCTATAGTTCCCCAAAGTTCATTACAAATCTCTTACTCAGCATGTGTGAGCTTCTTCAGCAGCTGTGAAACTTCTGTGTTGAAGGATACACTGAGTGGAATTAATGAGGTTCATTGTAGATTCACAGAGATTTCAGGCATTATGAAAATGTTCTTGCTATGGTGTGGTGCGGAGAGCTATGCTCCACTAAGTAAGTGTTTGCTTTTGACAACCTGCAGCTAATAGGCTTCAAAAAGTGCTTAGGAATGAGTAAATTATCATTCCTGTGGCTATTTGCCTCAGATCCCATAAGAAGTTCAGAGGATTTCTCATTTTGAGAAGAGCATTGCCAGCAGGTTGAGGGAGGTGATCCTACTCAGCCCTTGTGAGGACACACCTGGAGTGTTGTGTCCAGTTCTGGGCTCTTCAGGGCAAGAGGGACATGGAGCTCCTGGAGCAGGTCCAGAGTGTTGTGTCCAGTTCTAGATCCTCAGATCCACAGGGACATGGAGCTCCTGGAGCAGGTCCAGTGGAGGACAGCACTGATGAGGAAAGGCTGAGGGAGTTGGGGCTGTTCAGCCTTGAAAGACCTCATTAATGTATTCATGTACATGCACAGGAGGTGCCAAGAGGATGATGAGACTCTGCTCAGTGGTGTAAACCAGTAAAACAAGAGGTTATGGGCAAAAAACTGATGCACAGGAAGCTGCATCTGAAGAACTTCTTTCCTGTGCAATCACTGAACAGATTGCCCAGAAAGGTCGTGGATTCTCCCTCACTGGAGGTGTTCCAGAAGGATCTAGACACAACCCTGAGCCATGTGCTCTGTGCTGGCCCTGCTTGAGTAGGGAGATTGGTCCAGATTGGTCCATTGTGCTCCCACCTCAACTGATTCTGGGATTCTCCTCTCCTGCTAAAACAGTTGATTTATTTAAATCATTGCTTTCTGTTCCTGTTGGGGATCCCCCCACATTTGCAAGCTCAGGCTGAAAACCACGTTTTGAACATTTTTCCTAGGTGATCAAGAACAGCAAGACCAACGTGGCTGAGCTGGAGCTGTTCCCGCGGTACCTGCTGTTCCTGCGGCAGCAGCCGGCCACGCGCACACAGCAGTCCAACATCTGGGTCAATATGGGTATGATGAGCCTCAGAATGTTTCCTCAGCATTTGCCTAGAGGTAACTTAAGAATGCAGCAAGAACACCAGTGTGCAGTTTCTAAAGCCAAGCCCACAGCTCTAGGAGCTTCTGCCACTGCAGCTAATCACCTCCACGGCACAATCAGCACAGGGGAATGAGTCAATGTCTCTCCTCCTTGTCCTCTCCTGAGAGGGGGAGGCAGGAGGGAGCATTTGCAGGGAAGTCAAGTTGATTTGCATGGTTGCTGCAAAGATGGTGAGTTGAGAGTGAGAAGTGAGCACTGCAGAAACTGATCATTCCTCTTGGCAGTGGATCTTGTAGCCACGGAGTAGTTGCCCCTGTGCGTTGGGGGTGGTGTGTTTATCTGATCAGACAAGAAATTAAATCAGTGTTCAGTCAGCTGGTTCTGAGTTCCTTGAGCAGCTGAACTTTCATCCCCCAAACTATTCCATGTTCTTCAGAAAGCAACTGAAGGAATGGAATATCAAGACTATTATATGATGCAGTTGGGAAAGACAATTCAATAGAAAGAATTCATTTAAAAAAAGTCCAACTGAAGTACATGGGTCATTATTGTGGTGGTAGTGCTCACCAGAAGTTTGTACAAGAATAACCTTTAGATTGAGGCTTCACAATCTAATCTTCACAACACTCAGGTGTTGCAGGATTTGCCTCCAGTTCCCAGTTTGCCTTGCGGAAGAGGTTTGGAGCAATCCTGATGTTCACGTGCTGTTGGACACAGATCCACTTTTGTACCCACAGGAACATGATTGGGCTCACCAGACTACTGAAAATTCAGTCCTTTAGCCTCGCTAGTGTCAGGCTCTGTTTGAAACTCTCATGCAGATGCTCAGTTTGTCACTGCTTTGGTAGAATCTAAACCTGGTGTAGTCAGCAGCTGCCTGCTTGGTCGAGTCCTGCTGCAGAAACTGCCTGCAATCCAAATTCAGCTTTCCTACTGGGCCTAAGAAATGGAAACTGCTTCATTTGGACCTCTGAAAATGCCCAAATTCAAATAAAGAGAATCTTCTGATGTGGCAGATTTGATCTTGATTTGGAATCATTTTGCACTGCACTAATTCATTTGTCCAATGAGTTATTAATCTTGTTGAGTTCTCAGATGTGCTTTCTTGCTGTAATCTTACAACTAATCCTCTGATCCCTCAGCTCAGAAAATGCTGGTTTGTTTTCCTTCAGAAAAAAATGATTACTTTGCTTGATATATTGAAGTGAAACAGCTGCTTTGCTGACTTGTGAGATGATCACAGGATAGTTTCCCCTCTTGTCAAATTGCATGTAAGATAATATTGCATATTTTAGATGGTATTGTGTGTGTTATTTGAGCCTTTTTCCAGTGGAAGTAGAATGATGTCACTTTTGAGGTCGCTGCAGTTGCTCAGTTGGGTTTGGCTGGATAACAAAAGCTTCTCCTGAGGGTGTTACAGACCTGTCTGTGGGGAGTGAGGAACTCCTGAAGTTTAAACTCAAAGTATCTGAAGTTGATCTCATCTCTTGTGCAAATGTTTTAGTTCAAGATGAGCTCATGTTGTGGAGAAGAGCAACAGTCTTGACTGATGGAATTCATTTGTTTTACAAACATGGGATTGTTGGCAAATTCTGGTGAAAATCCTGTGTGTCCTCACAGAATGTGTTTGGAGGAATTTGGTTATCCAGAAAATGTTGTGTGACCTCCAGGGTGATTCTGTCTGCTCCACAGAGGAGTTGAAACAAAGTCCTGCTACTCCCAAGAATAGTCAGGCTGATTTTTTACCTTCCTTTTTTTTTTTTTACTTAGTGTTCTCTCAAAAAGAAAACTCAGGAAAATTTTTCAGCCCTTTATTTTGAAAATTCCCTTGGCCTCTGACACTGTGAGAGCCACAAAGAACAGTCTTGTACAACTTCTCTGAAATGATTTATTTCCTGAGACTCTTTCGGGAGCAGTTTTCTAATAGGTTTTAGTAGGAAGGGAGATAATTTATCTGCTGTGATAGAAAATCTGTTGTCCCAGAGGGTTAGTAACAAGTGGTTTTCCATCCAACTCATCATTTGATCCATAAACACAAGCAGGAAAACTCTCTCCTACTTTTTGCAAAGAGTTTATATAGTGTCCGAGTTGTTAGAGCTCAGATTCCAGTTGGCCTGTGGGTATATCCATTCTGTTCTCCCCTTCTCTCATGATTGTGAATCCAGGCAATGTCCCTTCTCCAAATGCTCCTCTGAAAAGGGTGTTGGCTTACACTGGCTGCTTCAGTCGGATGCAAACCATCAAAGAGATCCACGAGTACCTGTCCCAGAGGCTGCGGATCAAGGAGGAAGACATGCGCCTCTGGTTGTACAACAGTGAGGTAACAACAGGCTTCTTTCTCCTCTTTTAAAAGCTTTTAGCAGCTATTGGATATTATATGTCTTATTTTTTCCTAGACACTTTAATGTACATGCACAGAAAAAAAAAATTAGTGGCCATAAGTTTTCCTTTACAGTTTCACTGCTCAGGTTGGAAAACTCTTACTCCTTGTTTTCCAGAGATGTTTGTGCACGTCAGTGTTTTAGTTTCATTGCTTTGAGGTTAAAATACCCTCAGAGTATTTTATATGTAGAAGTAATAACTATATCAAGTCTCTTTTTTTTTTCTCCTGCAGAACTATCTCACTTTGCTGGATGATGAAGATCACAGACTGGAATACCTTAAAATCCAAGATGAGCAGCATTTAGTAATAGAAGGTATAAAAAGGGACTAGAACTGATTTCTACACTCAAAATAGAGGTTTGCAGAGGGAACCTGTGGGGAGGTGGTGGTAAAGCTAATTTAGTGCATGTAAACACGTGTAGTATGTCCTTAGTGTGGAATACACTTGGAGTTTTGTTGGTTTGCAGCAGCAAAACATATTAGTTGTGGCTATTTGTTCAGACCTGGTGGGTCCTCACTGAGTATTAGAGTAAGTTGTTCTCCAGCAGGAAAGAAATCTCGAGGCTAAACAGCTCAAGATGTTAATGGTGTGGTTGGAATGCTGCCAGTATTACAATGAGTTCCAATAATGATTGGAAACATTGAAATGAAAACTAGCAAAAAATAAGACCCGAAAACAAGCAAATAGCTAATCTCTGATATTAGGGAACTTTGATTAAAGCTCTTCAGCTCTCTGCAGTCAGTAACATGAACAATCCTCTTCATCTCCCTTTCTAGTTCGAAACAAAGACATGAGCTGGCCAGAGGAGATGTCTTTTATAGCAAACAGCAGCAAAATAGACAGACATAAAGGTGAGTTTTTCAGCAGAGCAACTGATGGATAAGGAAAAAAATCCAAGTGTCTATTATGTGGGGACAATTCTTTTTGCTGTGAGTGCTTTTAGCATTGGAAGAGGTGTTTTCTGCCTGTGCTGTTTGCTTGGTCTTTGTTTTATTAACCCCCATGTGGGAGGGTTGCATGTGTGGATAAATTTGTAGCTGTTCAGTTAGAGCAGAGACAAATGGCACATAGCGAATTTTTGATTTTTGGGGGGTTTTAAGGTTAGGAATGGTTAAGATTTGAACAAATAACTCCAGAATTTTCAGTACCATTTGCCTGAAAATAGTTTGTACTGCCGTCTGTGGTGGATTATGTCCCAGCAAATACCTTCATTTCTGTTAAGCAGAGCTGAGAGCAGGTATTTATATCATCTGTGGCATCTATGCCACTGTAGACTCATAATTGGGAGCAGGTTAAATTAAATTGGTTGCTGTGAAAAGGTCTTGGCTGCTCCACCAGTCTGCATTTTCCCAGCTCATCTAATTATGTTTCTTTTCCCTCAGTTCCTACTGAAAAGGGTGCTACAGGATTAAGCAACCTGGGTAACACTTGTTTCATGAACTCCAGTATCCAGTGTGTCAGTAACACGCAGCCTCTCACACGCTACTTCATCTCAGGGAGGCATCTCTATGAGCTGAACAGGTAATTTTCTTGGAGACCATTGGCATTTCACAGGCTGGAACATTTCCTCACACTGACTTTCAGAAGCAGACAGTATAAATAAATCCAAGTTCAGCGTTATCAGCTCTACAGCAGGTACTGATTAGATACAGAAGAATTAAAACACATCACCCAAGAAGCTTTTCTCCTTCCTTGTTAATCTCCAGGCTTGAACTGTGTTTAAATTTTAATATGGTGTTAATTACTTTGTGATTTCTAGGACAAATCCAATAGGAATGAAAGGACACATGGCCAAGTGCTATGGGGATTTGGTTCAGGAGCTGTGGAGTGGGACTCAGAAGAACATAGCACCGTTAAAGCTGAGGGTGAGTCTGCTGTGTTGTTTGAAGGCAGAAGCAACAATTCCTCTGACTACTGGAAATATTTCAATGGACTTTCTCCTGATGTTACCTGTATTGTAATGGTTTGCAGCATTAAATCAGTGTCTCCCCTAGAGAAAGGGAAGGACACCTGGACATGGATTTCATGTGTTGGAAATTGGTTGTGGAGTCAATCCCATGTCCTGGGCATGTTATCATGTATGTTAGTCCAAACTGGGCACAGAATTTGCTTTCTTGCCTGTGAGGAGTGCAGGGAGGTGTTCAGGGAAGAGCTGTGCAGGGCAAATGCCTTGGAGGAGGTCAGTGTTGAGCAGTCCTGGTGCTCAGGACTTCTGTAGAACATGTATTTCAGTGGTGGTAAGGTCAAAGGAGTTACCTGATATGGCTCAGAGATTGTGGCATGAGATGTAGCTTTTATAGCCCTTTCCAGGGACAAAAGATGATGCATTTGCCTGTAAATGAGCTTTTGTTCTAAAAGCAAAGGTGTTCCCTTCAGCTCTTGGCAACACATGTCTGCAGTGTTCTGATTTATTGTCACACCTCCTGCTATGTGATGTTAAATCACTTTCTGACCTTTTTTTATAGTGGACAATAGCAAAATATGCTCCAAGATTTAATGGCTTTCAACAGCAAGACTCCCAGGAGCTCCTGGCTTTCCTTCTGGATGGTCTCCACGAGGATTTGAACAGAGTTCATGACAAGCCATACGTGGAGCTGAAGGACAGCGACGGGCGCCCAGACTGGGAAGTAGCAGCAGAGGTAAGGCTTAAAATGTTGGGGTTTGGGCTCAGTTGGTTTGCTGCTAAGTTTTGTGGAGGAGGTTCTCTGTATCCATACCCTCTCAGGACTGTACTATCTTTTGGAGCTGTGATTTAAGGAGGCAATTCCACCTTGGAGCTGGAAATTAATTAACATTCATTCATTAACATTAGTGTAATGAAAGTATAAAGATGATATTTCACAACAGTTTCGAACAGCTCCTGAAAATTATGGGGTAAAATATTTCAAGATCTTCCTCAGAGTACTTGAAATGATGTCATACCTTGACATTTCTCTTAGTTGAGAACTTTTCTTTACTCATGTTGAAACTCAATAACCAATTTCTACTAAATCGAAGTAACTTCTGTGGGATTAGTTTGACTCCCTTAAGCCAATGAAACCTTGGAGATCAAGGAAATGGTCTTCAGTTTCTAACCTTGTAATATTTCTTTTGTGCTTCATTTTAGGCCTGGGAAAACCATCTGAGACGAAACAGATCCATAGTTGTAGATTTATTTCATGGGCAGCTGAAGTCACAAGTGAAATGTAAAACTTGTGGACATATTAGTGTTAGGTTTGACCCCTTTAATTTTTTATCCTTGCCTTTGCCAATGGATAGCTACATGCACCTAGAAATTACAGGTGAGTGGTGATGTTTGACTCACTCTAGACTTGTGCTAGATCATATGCTACAAAACATCAAATTGGGTTTGTGTTAGTGCTTACAATGAAGAGTAGTAACATAGGTTGAATAGAATAGAGTACAAGAGTACAAGAATTTTCAGTGAAACTGAAATAAAACGTTTAAAAACAGAACACAGATGATCCATTCTCAGTCTTGATTGAAGGACTTGGTATAGAAAGATGTGAAATGGAGATCTGGAGAACTTTGTTCACTGTGTTGTGGAGGTTGTCCTAAATCTGCCTAGAGCCAAAAACAAGTACTGGAGGGAAAATACAATGTGAGTCATGACCTGTGCTCTGAAGAACCTGTGTATTGCTGGGAAAGAGGCAAAGGAAAAGGTGATTTCAAGAGTGAAGCAAATTTTGAACCCATTTCCCACTGCCTTTGCAGCGAGAGATTTTCTGACGTTTGCCTGCAGCCCTTGAAAATTGACTGGGAAAATAAGCTAAATCATATCTTCAAGTGGAGGAAAAAAAATCTTTTCCAATAAGTAGGGAGCTGTAATCTACTCTTCTCATTAAGACTTGCCTGGTTTGCTGACCTGTGTGTTTCTTTTCCCCTTCAAAGTAATTAAATTAGATGGTACCACTCCTGTTCGATATGGCCTGAGATTGAACATGGATGAGAAGTATACAGGGTTGAAAAAACAGCTGAGTGAACTCTGTGGGCTCAAACCAGAGCAGATTCTGCTTGCAGAAGTGCATAGCTCCAATATCAAGGTAAGAAGAAAAAAGATGAATCCTTGCTGCATCATACTTTGGGTATTTTTCTTGTTTTTTCCTTTTTGACATTGTTTTGTGCACAAGAACTGTGAATAGGATTAAAAGTCAGCTTAGTTATATCTCTATATGAACTTCTAGTTCATTTGAACATTAATTTGGCTTGCTGTAAATAGACTCAAATTGATTACTAATGATATTTTTAGGGGCAAAAAAATGGATAAAATCATCTTGAGGTAATACATCTCAAGTTAGCTGTGATGAGTTTAAACACTGTCAAGACGTCAGGGGAATAAGTAATGATTGGGTTAGGGCTCTATAGTGTGTGTGTATCTGTACATACATTTTGCTGTCACTGCTTAGATTAAAAACTGCTTGTAACAAGGTGTTCTCAGTCCATTTAGAGAAACTTTCTTAATTCTCAGATTTTGCTGCAAAGATCTGCAGAGGGGTTGGCTCAGTTTTTCCTGTTGGAAAGGTGTAGGAAAGCAGGAGGGAGGGAGAGAGGAGCTGGCAGATAACTGTTCCCGAAAGAACAAAACATGTTTAGAGTCACACATGTTATTCTATTAATGTCTAACTTTCCCTTTTTTACTAAAGAACTTCCCTCAAGACAACCAGAAGGTTCGGTTATCCGTCAGTGGGTTCCTGTGTGCGTTTGAGATCCCCATCCCAGGATCCCCTACATCAGCATCCAGCCCTGTGCAGACAGGTAACAGACACAGGGATTGCCCTCTTCCTTCAAATTCAGGGGAAATCTTTATTTCTTGGTAACGAGTGAGGATTTAATGAAAGGCTGAAGGAGTTGTGCTGCACAAAGCAGCTGTGAGCAGCCTCAGCACGCTCTGCTGGGCTGTGCTCCACACAGAGTGCAGAGGGTAACAATCCTATGCTCAGTGCTGGGTCTGTAGGTAACTCTGTGGTCTACCCACTGTCTACCCACAGACATCTCAACTGGGCCATCAGCGAACGGAACTCCCAACATCATGATGAACGGGGACCTTCCCAAGCCAACCCTGATTCCAAATGGAATGCCAAACATTGTAGTGCCATGTGGGACTGAGAGGAACCATTCCAGCTGGATGCCCAACGGTCACGTGCCCTCGTTGTCTGATAGTCCTTGTACAGGGTACATCATTGCAGTGCACAGGAAAATGGTCAGTAGCTTTTGCTTTGCTTGGCAAGTGTTTGGTAACATCAAGTGTTGTTTTTTCCTGTGAGGGTGCTGAGACACTGTCCCAGGTTGCCCAGGGAGGCTGTGGCTGCCCCAACCCTGGCAGTGTTTCATTCCAGGTTGAATAAAGCCTTGAACAACCTGCTCTGGTGGGAGGTGTCGCTGCCCAGGGCAGGGGGTGGCACTGGATGATCTTTAATGTCCATTCTAACCCCTTCACATACTATGAAACTTCCAAAGAAAGTGTCAAAAACCCAAGGATTTTTGAATGTCCATATGATCAATCAATCTGTATTTCCTAAGAAGAAGGAGCAGGGGTACATTTCCCTCATATACCTCACATGAAGTAGGAAGTATTGTCCATGACTTTAATACAGATTTATGTTTATGGCCTAACACCTAAATAACCTCAATATCATAAAACACAAACATTTTTCAAATCCATGATCAAAATTTACAGTATTTTATAGTGGAAGCAGAGTACTTTGACTAGAATTAAAGGTTGATTTTAATTGCCAAGGCCTGGATTAAGTAGCAAGGCTCAGCATCCTTTCCATCTGAGCCCTCCTCTTGTTCCCCACACCAGATGCGGACGGAGCTGTACTTCCTCTCCTCTCAGAAGAACCGTCCCAGTCTCTTTGGGATGCCACTGATTGTCCCCTGCACAGTTCACACCCGGAAAAGAGACCTGTATGATGCTGTGTGGATCCAGGTTTCCAGGCTGGCCAGTCCCCTCCCACCTCAGGAAGCCAGTAACCATGCACAGGACTGGTGAGTGTGGCAGCTCAGCCTTTGGCTTGAAGGATGCAACAGTGGCTCAGGCTTGGTGAAGATTGAAGATCTAAAATGACATAAATCTCTTTCAGTTTGGATTTCTCTGAATAACAGCAGTAATTAAAAATCACAGTTAAATGTAGCTTCACTTAAAGGTTGGTTTTGCACAAATTGGTCGATTCATTCTCATCCAGGCGTTGAGCATCATTTATAGCTGACAAATTTAGGCCATGTAAAGGCAGGTTTTAATAGCTTAATGTTATCAAAAGTATAATTTTGGAGGGGGTTTGTGTTGTTTTTCTTTAAGTAAGCATAACAAGCACATGGAGGGTAACTGGCAGTGTGTGTGCTGCTGCCTTATGTTGTGTTCCCTTGTGTTTCAGTGATGACAGCATGGGCTATCAGTACCCCTTCACCCTCAGGGTAGTTCAGAAGGATGGAAACTCTTGTGCTTGGTGTCCATGGTACAGGTAAATTGTCCTTTTTCCATTTACCAGCAGGGAATCACTGCAGCAGGAAGGTAATTTATGGTAATGGGTTTGTGAGATGCTCCAGACTTTGGAGGTAATCTCAAACAATAAGGGTCTGGAATGTAATTTCACCAGAACTCTCCCATGGCAGTGGCACTGCAGTACAGCTGTTATGTGCTGGAGAGCTGAAAGCTCTGCTGCCTCAAAAACTTTCAGTTAGGAGACCGACAGGAGACTATCAAAACCTCTTAAACCCTTCCAATATTCATGTGTGTGTGAGTGCAGACATGTGTGTCCACATACTTGGGTGATTTCACACAAAACCAAACTTTTAGGTGTAAATTATCTACCTTCACAGTTTCCTTTGCCATTTAAAGGGTAAGAACTAATATGGGCAGTAAGAAGCTCACCCTGGAAGGATGTTTAGGATTTTCCCTAAACAATGACTTGTTAAAAATAATTCCAGACCCTTGCTGGAAGGTATCCAGGCCATATACTCATCAAAAGAAATAGTGTCTAGGTAATAAAGTGAATTATCATGGTGTAAACTACGTGAGGAGACAAAGCAGTGTAGTTTTTTTGGGATAGGTTTGGTCAGCATTGGATCATAGGATGGAAGGGACCTGAAAGCTCATCTCATTCCAACCCCCTGCCATGGGCAGGGACAACTTCTACTGGAGGAACATGATGATATGCAGATGGTGGAGCTCATCCAACTGCTCTATTTTCTCATCTCTATGAAAGTTGTGTAGTAAAATAGCAAATGACACTGAGTGTAGTTTTGTTAAAATGCCTCACCCTGGAGGCAAAGCCTGAAGCGTTGGAGGGTGCACATGTTGCAGGCTAAGGAACAGAACTGGAGTGTGAAGGGATGTAAAACTTAGTGGCTGCACAGTTCCCTTAGCACATCTAACTGTGTGCTGCAGGTTTTGCCGTGGTTGCAAGATTGAGTGCACAGAGGACAGAGCCTGTGTGGGGAATGCTTACATCGCCGTCGACTGGGACCCCACGGCGCTTCACCTGCGCTACCAGACCTCGCAGGAGCGGGTAGGAGCTCAGCACACCCTGTGCTTCTTACCAGCTCTGCACCACAACCCTTTTCACCTTCTTGAGTTGTTTGCTGCTGCTTTTGTCCATTTTCTGTTGAACCAAAGTCAGGAGTCATAGAATCAACCTGGTTGGAAGAGACCTCAAAGATCACCGAGTCCAACCCTCCCATGGTCACTAGCCCATGGCACTAAGTGCCACATCCAGTCTCAGCTTGAAAACCTCCAGGGATGGTGAATCCACCACCTCCCTGGGCAGCACATTGCAGTGTCTGATCACTCTCTCTGTAAAAAATCTCTTCCTAATATCCAACCTAACCCTCCCCTGGCAGAGCTTGAGTCTGTGCCCTCTTGTCCTCCTGCTCCTCATGGAGCAGTACATTCTGGATCAATTGATGTCTTAATGTTAGACCTCTTACGTGACCCTAATGTGGAAGAGAAGCTTTTAAGGAGCCATTTTCTGGCTGTTGTGAGCTGGTTTTCATCTACTCTCCATAATGTGTTATAAAATATGCTAATTTGATACATTTTCTAGAACTCTAAACAGGCATGTGAGTAAACCTATTTCCTCACTGAGGCAACAAAACCTATCTGAAACTAAGCCTGTAGCTGAGGTAATCTAGAATAACAAGTCAAACTTGTGAGTTCCATCTAAAGACTTGTGCTTTGTGCATGATTTGTAAGCAGAGCCAGGAATAAGGACAGAGAATGATTTGCATATCAGCCTCATCATAATCGAACTAAAATTTCTGCTGAAACTTAGCACATCTAGTTTTAATCTTCAATCCTAAATGACTCTACGAGGTTCCTTGTAGGATTCTGTGAGCTGAGGCTTCCTCTGAGCAGTGTGTGTACATTTCCAAGTCAGATACAGTTGTGTCTCCCTTCAGATTGTGGAAGAACATGAGAGTGTTGAGCAGAGCCGCCGAGCTCAGGCAGAGCCCATCAACCTGGACAGCTGTCTCAGAGCCTTCACCAGTGAGGAGGAGCTGGGAGAGGATGAGATGTACTACTGCTCCAAATGCAAGACCCACTGTCTGGCCACCAAAAAACTGGATCTTTGGAGACTTCCCCCTATTTTGGTAAGATCTTGTGTAATTTGTCTCTACAGCACAAACCCAAATCCCTCATTCCCATGTCTGAGCTGCTAGTTGTGACACCTTGGTGTGAGTAAGATGATTTGCTGTGTTCACAGTCTCAGGAGAGGCACTGACTCAGTTTGCTTTGTGCATTTCTCTAATGCAGGCAAATAAAACAAACCTCAAATCCTTCTGAGTGTTTTTAGCTGCTGCACTGCAGGAAACACTGGTGGGTTGTGTTCAGTGTCAGCTGTTCTGACACAGAATTCACACTCAGACGGTGCTTTGGTGGTGGAACACCTGCATTTGTTGTTTTTCAGTTTTGGTGGGTTATTCAAAACAGTGCTGAGCACTGAATTGAAGCAACCTTCTCCATCATCTCCTCATGAAAATATCTGCTCATATTTCACCAGCTCAATCCCAGAATCCAAACTGTCACACACAGCATTGTTGCTGGCTTTATTTGCATCAGTAAAATGTGTTTTGTGGACTCACTGGGATGTCATTGTCCTCCTTTCATTCTCTCTACCATGTTTGCCCTTAGATCATTCACCTGAAGAGGTTTCAGTTTGTGAACGGTCGCTGGATCAAATCTCAGAAGATTGTTAAATTCCCCAGAGAAAGTTTTGACCCAAGTGCCTTTCTGGTACAAAGGGATCCAAGTCACTTCCAAAGGAAGCAGCTCACACTCCAGGTGGACAGTGTTCCTGAGCCACGACCTCTCCAAGGGGAGCCCAGGAAAACAGAGGTGCAGAACTGTGGCACCCCAGGAGAAGGAGATACACTCAACAGGAGTCCTTCCTCCCTCAACACTACTGTCTTGAACAATGTCAAAGGTAGGTGATGATCAGGGAGAATTCCAGTCAGTACTGGTATTTGGAAGGGGGAAAACATATATGGTGAACAAAGTTTTAATGGGGTTTTTTTTGGCCAAAGCATTGTGGTTATTTTGAAACACTTCTCAGTGGCTTTTAGTCAAGCTTTGCCATAAAAAGAGCAAAATAAAGTTATTCAGTGACAGGAGATATGTGTGATTGGGCTGGAATAAAAGTGAGGACTGTGCTCCTGCATGAGAGTTAAATCTCAGTTTATCTGTGTGTGCACAGAGAGAGGTTTTTACTTTCAATACAGCTAATGAGGAGTATATAAAAGCTTTGGTTTGTAATGTTTGGTAATTAAAAAACCACTAGTAAAAAAATAATCTAGGCTACGTTTGTACTTCTTCTCTTAGTATTATCTTCCTGTTTTCTCTTTTAGCATCTCCATCTTTGGGGAGGAAAAGTGGCACCAGCTGTCCCTCAAGTAAAAACAGCAGCCCAAACAGCAGCCCAAGGACTTTAGGCAGAGGCAAAGGGCGTCTGAGGCTGCCTCAGCTGGGGAAAAACAAACTGTCCAGCAGCAAAGAAAACCTGGATGCCAACAAGGAGAATGGTACTGAGCAGGAGCAGAGATTGACCTCTGATCAAGGGGATGCCCTCACCAAGGGGCAGGGTTTGGGTGGCAGCCAGAGTGAGCTGTACAGCGCTCAGGACAGTGAGGTGACTCTGGCCAACGGGTACATCTGTGAGCAGAACACATACAGCAACGGCAGCAGCAACGGCCAGGGGGACAACCACAGTGAGGATGACACTGCAGATGACCAAAGAGAAGATGTGTGTGTTAACCCTATTTACAATCTATATGCAATTTCGGTGAGTTGTCTCTCTATGCAGGTAAAACTGCCTTTTTGTGCCATTGTTTTGGCTAAATGCCTTTGTTGTGGTCCCTACAGCAGTAGGGATTGTTTGGGGAGGAGAACAGAGTAGAGACATGGTCAGCACAATAGATTTGTGGTATCACTGAGCACAAGTAAAGTGTCTCTGCTTCATGCTTGTTCTGCTTGAATCTCTAAGATCAGTCAGCTGCAGCTGTGTAACTGTCATAAACCATTGCCACTCGTGGCTAATGAATCTGTGACTCGTTTATCTGGTGTTTGATCCAGACTTTATTCTCTTCTTTGTTTCCTTCAGTGCCATTCAGGAATTATGGGAGGGGGTCATTACGTCACTTATGCCAAAAACCCGAACAACAAGTGGTACTGCTACAATGACAGTAGCTGTAAGGTAAATCATTTCTTGTTCTAGCAAATTATTTCTGTCTTGGTTACCTAGAGCTGAAGGAATTTACATTATAGGATCCCAGGATGGTTTGGGTTGGAAGAGACCTTAAAGCTCATCCTGTTCCAACCCCCTGCCATGGGCCACTAGGCAGGACATTGGTCAGAGCTGTTTGAGATCATGAACATCTCAAAAGTTACGTGAAATAAATGTTAAAGTTATGAACTGAAATTGTACAGGAGGTTTTGTCAAGGTAACAGCTGTTCATCAGCTGCTCCCGTGGTTAAAGATGCTTGTTTTGTTTGTACCAAGATGGAAAAACTACTAAAAATGGGCATCCCAGAATATATTTTGCTGAGGGCAGCAGTTTGTGTTCACTCGGGGAAGAATTCTGTTCCAATGCTTAGAAAAATCATTTGCATTCATCGCTGTAAAATCTGTCAGACTCAAGTAAATAACAGAGCCTGATAAGGATGGAGGGAGACAAGTGTGATCCTTTGTGTTACAAACAGCCTGGAAAAAACAGTTTGTAGGGTGATTGTATTTGAGTTTGGTGTCAGTAGCACAATCCTCCCATTGCCTCTTCCATGTCTCAGGAGCTGCACCCGGACGAGATCGACACGGACTCTGCCTACATTCTGTTCTACGAGCAGCAGGGGGTGGACTATGCCCAGTTTCTGCCCAAGATTGATGGCAAGAAGATGGCAGACACGAGCAGCATGGACGAGGACTTCGAGTCCGACTACAAGAAGTACTGTGTCCTGCAGTGAGGCTGAGCTTCCGTGCACTGCTGTGAGAGTGGGAGGGAGAACACCCCGAAACTTTGCTGTTTACTGAGACAGATAAACCACCGTGTAGTTGTCACAGCCTGTGAGCTGAAAGCACAAAAGAACCCCCTAATTAACTAGTTAATAGCCAATAGTGTCGTTTTGTTCTGTTTTTCTCACTACATGCTCGAGACGTTTCTGATGTTGGACATCAGGCTGAGACTGCCATTGGCCTTTAAACAAAATGGTTTGAGAAAAGCCAACTAGGACCAAATAAGAGCGAAATTAAATAGTCCAAATAAGAGCTAAGCAGAGTAGTGTAGAATTTACCAACTGTTCTAACAACTCCCCCGAGGCTCTGGTTAGGTTTAACATAATGGGGAAAACCAATTTGTAGTGTTGTCTTTGGGCAACATGATATTGCTACCTCCTTTTTCCTGCAGTTTTATTGCATTTTATTGGCAAAACAGGGAAAGCAAGAGAAGGTGAAGTGCACAAACTGAAAGAATTACTGTGGAGAGTAAGAGAAGTTTCCAGTTTTGCCACCACTAATGTGTGTTAGTTGCTTTTCTTTCTGTGTGTTGGGAGCACAACCAAATCGTCATTTGCGAAGAGATGAATTTCTACACTTGAATGGTTTACTCTCCTTGTGTTTTCTCCACCTTGTTGGCTGTGCAGATCAACATGTTTCAGGAATGGCTTTTCTGCCTGAAGAGAAGCAGCTTCAGGTTGGAGAGAGTAGTTGTGGTTACACTCACGGTGTCTTAAACGTGCACATTGCACAGACCGTTCCCAAGCGTTGGAAGGAAAGATGCTTGAGCTTCTGTTCCATGACTGGTGTGTTGCTTTGAAATTTGCACTTTTTAAAATGCATCTGATCCAATTCCAAACCATAGTTTGTCGTTTTTGTTGTTGTTGTAAGGGCTCTGGAGTGAGTGGCTGTGAATTATCCACTGTGTATTTCAAAGGAAGCCGAAGCTGTGGCTGTCAGGTAGCTAAAGTAGCATTCATGGATGGAGGTGTTTTCTTGGTTTCATGATTTAATGGAGTTTCTTGTTTTCTAAATTTGGTTGCCTTTCAAATTTTGGGGTTTTTTTCCTTTGTTTTGCAACAGGGTATGCAAATACTTGCAATGAAACCAGAATTGCTTTCCATGCTCTTTATTGCATGAGGGGAAGCATCACTGAGTCTTAGCAGAGACTGGAAAAAGATGGTTGGTTTTTGACCAGGCATTTCTTTAAACATTTTTCAGTGTTCAACTGCATATCTGACTGAAGAGAAAAGTTTCACTCTTTTTGGCCTTTTATTCTTCAGCTTATTAATTTTATTATCAACTTCCCAGTTTAGAACTTGTATCTTCACTAACAAAATGGTTACTTACCTGGTTCTCTGAAATGAATGTTTGGAGTCATTTTAAGGTGATTTATGAGAATGCCAAACCTTTGGGAAGTTTATAATTTCCAGGAAGAGCTGAGTTGGACCCATTTAAGGAATGATAGCAGCTGGTCTCACTCTCCCTCAGGCAGAACCTCTGCAGGTTGTGCCTCCTTCAGGGCAGCAGATCTTGCTCCAAAAGTAAGTACTGTCTTACCTGTCAGGTGTTGCTCCCTATCCTCTCTGGTCTTGGATCTTTCAAGTGGTCTAAACATTGAGCCTGAAGAAAAGCAAACATGACTTGTGAATTTCTAGGTTAGAAGCTTTTTCAATGCCCATTTGTCTACTCCTCCCTCCGCAAACTCCATGAAAAGTGAAAGATCTATTATTTTTTTTTCAACTGATTTACTTTCAGATGTTTTATTTAAGCAGGTAGCACAATCTACTAATGTTATTTGATCTTCTGTGTTTGTTACATTGGTTGTAATTAATTTTTTTAAATTAAATTAATTCATGGATTAGTAGTAAATTTATTAAGTTAACTATTAACTACATTCACTTTGTAAATTATTGTACAAAACCTATTGACAATGCACTGACTTTAGAAAGATGTTAATGTACATAAATACCTTGTAAATAAAATAGTGTTGATGTACTGGAATATGAGCTGTATTAAAACAAAGGTATTGGTAATTGTATATGGAGTGAACTGTTTATCTGTAACTATATTATTCAAACAAATTAAATACTGTGGATGCAGATGAAGTGTCACTTCTTGTCAGATGGTTTTTAATAACTCTTCTCCTGCCCTGAAGTGTCTGTGCTGCTTTCATGAAGCTTCAGTGTGTTTGTCAACCCAAATTGCTGAGAGGTGGGATGAGCATCCAGCAATTCTTTGTGGCTTCTCTGCTGTTCCCACGAGGTAAGTTTGCTCTTTGCTCAGTGGAATCCCTTGTTCAGTCTTGCTCTTGGTAATAACTACAGTTCTAATTTGAAAAGAATCCATTTTACAAGTGAAATGATCCCTCAGGTACAGGAAGGTTTTGCTCTCAGTGTCTCTGGAACAAGGATCTGCAGGTACTTGGTGTACAGTGCTGGTGCCTGATGTGTTCCTGCTGCTGCTTCTCCATCAGTGGCTGTTTGCTCACGTAGTTTCTTGATTGTAGATAGTGTTGAGACATTTCCTCTGAGCAGACTCTGACTGGGAGAGCCTTACTGCAATTACAGTCATGCTTTTTCCAAAAGGGAAGTGAATCTGGTTGAGTTGGCAACGGGACCAAAGTCCTCAGTTACCTGGTACCAGGAGGCACTTATCTCCTGGGCTTGTTTGTTTCTGAGGGTTTCCAAAATTACTGTGGTTATGTTGAGCTGGAAATGAACTATTGTTCTTTTATGGCCCTTGAAGATGCTAAATGGCTATTTATCCAAGGATTAGCATGCATCAGGATCCCCAAGGATGATGCCAGAGGAGCTGGTGTCTCTGGAAGTGAAGTCATCTGCTGGTTTTACTGGCTTGGGGTCACTTGTACCTTTTCAGTGTTGAATATGATCTACAGTTGTTCCTACTGAGATTTTCCTCTCTTAAGGCTTTGAGGCATTTGAAGTGCAATGTAAAAAGATTAAAAATCCTGATTACTGAAGATGTTGGTGGGTGCTGTTGTCAGTGGGAAAGCTTTATTGATTCAGAGGTGTATGAGGGCCATTAAATAGATGAAGGGATCATAGCCCTGCCAAACCTGCAGCTGTTCTCTGCTTCCCAGATCAGAACTGTGCCAGTCTCAGACAAGGGCTCTGAAATTAGCAGGATCTGTTCTGTAAGGCAGGAGCAACGTGACGTGAGCTGTGCTGGACTTTTCCCCTCGTCCCTCTGTGTGTGTCTGAAGTGCTGGAAGTACGTGGCCTACACTTGAGGGTGGTTAGTCAGGCTTCCTTCAGACCTGGAGTGAAGTCCATCAGCTGATTGAGTGCCTTTTGATCCTTCTCCCGGGAGGGAGGGGGAAAAAGACAGCAGGGAAAAGCACCTTCTCATGCCAAAACCTCTTACTTCCCCCAGCATGATCAGAGGGACAGATGCACCAACTCCTGCTGCCAAAAGGAGTGTCCATGTCACTTCTTCAGCCTGAGAAACCCAAATCCAAAGGTACTTGGCATCTTATCCAACTGATCCGTTGTGGAGCTGCTGTT